TGATCTTACAACTCTTGTAGATGTCATCTTACCTCGTTCCTTGAGCGAAATTCAAAATTGGAATCGCTGATTAACTCATATATAGCAATGAAATATCCTGAAGTTGCTCCTATCAACATCTGAAGTAATATTTGATTCAAAATTTTTCTCATGTTCCACTCAGTCTCCTTCAGAAGGAAGAATAAGCATAGTCGTACAACGATCACAACTCCACCGCTTTCACAACACGACTGATACATTTCCTTAATTTGCGAACCGCTCTCTCCGACTCGCGTGTTGATTCGCTTAAATTTGAAGACCTGTCAAACCACAAATTAGCAAGAACGCTCTGATTGGTGCGACATCGAAAAATACTACAATCTGATTGGTTTGTGATACACCAAAAAATTGGGCCAATCACATTGCGTTGAGATACACCAAAAAAAAGATGCGCCAATCAGATTGCTTTGAGATACACCAAATTGCGCTGATCAGATTACACTACACCACAATACACCAATCTATACGCTGATTATAGCTATTTTTTCTTAAAAAAATAACTAAAAAATCAAGTCAGAGTCCTTGACCTATCAAAATTAATGTTATCTCGAAAAATAATTGTGAAAATTGTAAGTTATGTAAAACTTGATTTTATCAATTTTATATTGTTTGTAAATAGTTTTTCTTCTTATTATTATTATAATTATTAGTTTAGTTTACGTAGTAGGTGTCCCCAGTTACTTTTTACTTGTAAAAACTAGAACGGTTGACACGTAAATAAAGTTATTCATTCATTCATTCACTAGATCAGAGAGCCACGTTACTGAACCGCGCGATCCTCTCTACAAGAGGTCCATAGTTTAACACTTTTCACCAAGGACTGGACAGTTATTTCCCCTTAGAGTACTGTTACATCCTGATAACTTGCCAGAAACTCCAAATTAGCTTCTGGATTAATTAATGAAGAGAAAATTTGAAGGACACGATTTCTACTCACCATGAATGTAGAAGCTGCCTCTTGACTCTGTAGTTATCCCAGATACCACTATCTGAAGGAACCAACGCCTCTCCGCTTGACAGATCAATACCCACTGGAGTTTTAGCTTCAGCATATTCCTCCTGAAACAGAACAGATACAATCCCTTGATTCTTTTTGCATGATAAAATCCCAACACATTATTAACGCTCTTAGCCAGTAATATAGGGTCCAGGCTCTCAGTCCATACACCTCCCCAATGTTTAGCAAGCATTCTTTGTAATTTTAGCTCTCGTTGCTGACCCAAACAATATCCCCTGTGATATGTTTTTCGACTTTCTCTTGAAAAATGTTTTGATAGTGCAAGGAGAAATTCCTCCATCTGTCCATGCTGGGGTCCAATCTTACTGACTTCTCACTAACAACCGAAAAAAGGTTCCATCCAGTTGTCTATGTTACACAATGAATTTTCACATCCTGATGAATCTTTCGATTTTGAACTGCAAGAAAAGCACCTCTATATATTTAACTGCACGGCTGTAGCTTTGGCCGCACGCTGTAACCATGAAAATATCATATGCTGTGCAAAGTGGAGCAAGTCACAATAATTTAAAGCATCCTAAAATATTTTATTAACACGAAAATTGAAACACACAGAAGTCTTTACCTGCAGCTTAACAATTGTTTCCTGTGGATCATAGCCAGAATTTTGTGCAAGAATCTTTGGAATAACAAGCTGGGCGTCTGCAAAGGCCTGCAATGAGATAAAAGATATCCAATTTAAAAGTCAAGTATTTATAACTATGCACAAAACATTCACTGACAAAGTGACTGCCACAGATACACTCAAAATTTTCATAACTGCAGATTGTTGACCCAGAGGGCAAATTCAAGCTTCAACAGAGCAAGTAGTTCAAAACTTAAATTTTCTCTTTATGTTCATATCAAATCCTGTCTGAGGACAGAAACTTAATTTTCATCTGGAATCTCCAGCTCTTCAGTAACAGAATTGCAAATCAGTTACCTTTATTTTTGTGATATACTTCTTTAACTGTGATTTAATTTTAAGCATTTGCGCATATTCTCGAGTCTAACTAGGATTTGATTGATAGATTAATTTTGACAGAGTAAACACAAAAATAAACAAGCAGGGTACATTAAGCATGATAGGAAGTCCAACTGCCATTTTTTTTACATCCAATTTCAAACTCCACAATTCAATTGCTCAGAGAAAAAATTACTAACTAAGGAAGACTTAGAAGAGTACAGAATTCACCACATGAGCTTTTTGTCTTTTATCTTCCCACAATCTGAAACAATACACTAATCAAATGAACTTTATTTTCTTGGTGACTGTTCTATCCCACACAAATGGAAAAAAGACAGAATGAGGGGAAAAAAAGAGACAGAATAAAGGGGAAAAACAGTACGATTTATGAATCATTTGCTCTGCTTGGAACCAAGAGAGTCACCAGAGACTTAAAACTGGAGGTAATAAATGGGCAACACTTTTGCTGTTGCCCACTCTTAACCTCATAATTAACAAATCATGGTCCCAAAGATATCTGCACAATGGAAGTTTGAATAGGGAAAACTTTCTTTTCGTAAGCATGCCACACCTGAACTCCGAGCCTTGCTCTGCCTTTCACAGTCTTCTTGAATTCTGTCAAAGCAGCACTGACTGCCACCTCAAATGCTCCTGCACCAGGAACAACACTTCCTAAAAGAAATATCACTGTTCTGTTACCAGGTGGTGATTTGTTAAAAGATTTGGACACTTCAAATGGGGGTTTCAATGAAAGCTGGTTTTCAATGGTCTACTGGCACCTATGAGACCTCCACATCAGCTGTTTAGCCTGCTAACAGGCTCTTGTTTGAATTTTGCTCTATGGCACAGCTGCCTATCATGCCATTGGCAGCCGCATACGGAAAAAGTTATTGAAATCTCTGCTTCAAAGCGTTCTTTCTTACCATCTTCAATGGCATTTTTTACTGCTCTCAGACCATCATGCACTGCATCTTTAATCTGAGCCAAAGTGTGCTTGTTTGGCCCTGCAAAATCAGAGACAAAAAAGAACAGTTAATGAGGAACAACTGACCAAAGTAGTAACAGTGGAATTGCAATTTATTGACCCCATTATTTTTAAGAGCTTTTAATAATTTGGAACCAAGTAATTCACCATGGATTTGCTTCAATCAAACACTGCTTCCTTAATATTTCCACTGGGCAATTTGTACAAACAAGATCACTGTGAACTTGAAACTGACAAATGCTGCCAGTTTCCACTGTAGTAAGTTACTACAGTGAAACCTTGATTTAATGAACCTCTATACAATGAAGTCCTTGGTCCCTTGGCACTTCATTAAATTGAGGTTCCACTATAGAAGTATTCTTGAAAGGCCTTGACAGGTGTCAGTTCATCAAACATGAACTATCCGCCCCCTCCTCTCACCCTTCCCTCAACTAACTTCACCAGTTTCTATTTTTACCTCATGGCATAGGGAGAATTCAAGGGAAAGAGTTACAGTATGTGTCCTACTTAACCTTTTACAGCCTAACATCAGTATGCATATTCTCCATACTGTTCTCTATACATTTCCAAATGTGCTGACAAGGAGAATTTGTTTGACAATGAAGAGCACCATTAGTTGGTGATCATTTCCTTTATTCTCATGACCTTAGTGTGTGATTCAGGGGGTGATATTGTAAGGAGAAATTAGCTGCTGGTCACTCTTGGGGGTTAAATGGCCAAAAAAATTATACAGAGCATAGTGAATACTTTCCTACAAAACTATGTGGTTTACATAAGTTGAATAACCAAGTCAACACACAGAGTTAATGATTGTTTTCAGCTTCAAGGACAAGGAAAATTATGGATTGCTCATTTTCTATAATCATAATGTCGGTCTGTAAAGAAACATCCTCACCTTTAATGAGGATAGTAACAGAGAGGGGGTTTTTCAGCTCTTCAATAAATGTGTATTTACTCTCTCCCTAAATTTAAGACAGAATTGAGAAACAAGCAAATGAATTGAGACCACTGTTAGATAATTGACCTAGCTGAAAAATGTATGTATACTAGGTGATGATGATGACAAGTTTTAACACATTTGACTGATAACTTGATACTTGACACTCTCCTGTTTCAAAATTAATAAAAAACCCTTAAATGCAGACTTGCCCACATGCCACTGGTCGCTTCTGCCAGGTTGACCAATACAACTTTACCTCTCTAACAACCTTAAGAATACATTAATATCCCACATACAAGATTACTGTGTGATGGACATCCTCCCCTGAGGTGGGATGGGTGGGTTGGGGTTGGTTTAGGTGGGTGAACCTAGTAGGGGACTACATGTCCTATTGTTCTCTTGCCTGTACACTGTACTAATTTATAAATACAAATACAAATGCCACCCATGTACATCAAGCAAAATTCAGGAGGTACACAATTGGTGAGGTTTGAAGACACCACCTAGCTCTGTACAGGACAATTTGAAGCCTTTCAAGTTAAAGTAAGTGTCATGGAGGAGAGAAGGTCAGTAAAGACAGATGCACTGAAAACTGTCCCAGAGGTTTGTGGGAAGACATTTCAACTTCTTTTATTTCACTCAGCCAAAGGAAAATAACATTGACATGACAAAAATTCTCACCAAAACATGTTCATAAACAAGTCCAGCATGACCCAGACATTCAGGTGTAAGATCATCAAAGGAGTTCATAGCAATGCCTCCACAAGCAAGGGTGAGTCGTTCCATGTTCCTGCTCTTCGCACGACGAAGCCCCACAATGCCATTTTTAGCTAATGTATCAAATGAGAATGGATCAATTCCCTGTTAAAAATACAAAAATGTTGAGTCAACCATGCAGTAGTTTCATTTGAAACCATCTTAAAAAAGCTTTAATAAAATAATATTACCCACATATAGTAATAAATATTTAATAATATTACGCTCCTCTAGCTGTTACACATTTCCTTGTAAATAAGTTACAAGAATTTTGTGTTAGATCAACTTCTACCTGATAAGTTTGAGTACTCTCATTACCTGTTTCCTGAATAGTGTAGGGACATTGTAGTGAGAAGTTACAAGTTAATAAATTCGTGTAGTTATAGGCTTAATAATCCATGGCTAAATTATCGAGAATGCATTAAAATTCTAATACGAAAAATGCCAGGAACATGGTTACCATATAATTTGAAATTACCATTTAGTTTTAGGACCAACCTTCTGATTTATCACCACAAATCCTTTGTTGTTCCCTTCGCAAACCTAAGAGTAAGTGCAGTGCAATTGAAAATGAAAGCTAAAGGCATTCGGAATGTGTAAAACAGTTCAGAAGAGGATTGCTCTCAAACTGGTGTACCAGAAATACATATTTAAGGTATGATAATTGTGTTATAGTCAGTTACATTAAAGAACAGAGCTCTTAAGCAAACCACAAACCCACAACTAATTGTTGTTGCTTCTTAAAATAATATCATCTTACACCAGATTGTCTTCTTCCTCTTGACAATATTACATTTCCCAAGTAAAAGGAGTGGAAATGAGAAAATAAATATAGATATAGAAAGCAGGGCCAATTAGAAAAAAAAAAAAAAAAAAAAAAAAAAAAAAAAAAAAAAAAAAAGAAATGCACATGGATAAGATGTGACCTGATAGTTATCACAATGGACAGAAGAAAGAAGGGCCTGGGTACAAGTCCAGGCTGGTTGCTTATTTGCGTTAGTTCTTGAATGAGACACTTTGACAGTGCAAATCTCTCAGCTGGGGAGTATAACTGAGTCACAAAAAGAACTACAAAATTGTTGGGGAAGGAAGTGTTTTCCTCTGACAGAGTACAACCCTGTACATGTCAATTGACTATGTCCTACTTCCCTCAATCTATGGAATTATTTTAACGTCAAGCCCCACTGGGTAGTTATTGAGCCCTTTCACTCCCTAGATCTCATTAGTGATTCTCCTTACTGTCTGCAATACAATTCCTACCATGTAAGTTTGGAGAATTTGGTATTGCATCAACTAAAAATCCCTTGTTGATATTTTTCTTTATTCTCATCACTTGTCTGCTTGATATTGTATTGATATTGTAAGGAGAAATTCTGTCTTGGTCACTGATGGGAGTCAAAGGGTAAAATGTAACCACTACAACCCATATTTGATCCAGTGAAAAGCACCACAGTGAACTCTCACCTTATTTTTGAGTTCAATGACTTTCTGTACTTTGTCATCTGTAAACTTGCTTTCAGCTGCAACTAATTTCTCTCTTTCTTCAGCACTCTTATAGAAAAACCCAGAATTCACCTCACTGTAAAACACAAAGAACAAGGAATTTTTTAACTTGAAGGAAAAAAAAAGATTTCCTCAAAACTCCCCTTGAGTAAAAATTAATGTAACTATCATAATTATAATTGCAAACGTCTGGCAAAAAGGTTCATAAATTTAGCTCTAGGTAAATAATATTGATAATTGATAATGATAAATATAATGATAAGGTTAATAAGTAGTATTATTATATGGTTGTGCCTCACAAGTACTGGGAACTACCGAATTCCTGAATTTGA